TACGAAAGTGCCGCGAATTTTCTGAACCAATCACGCAATGAAGCAATCAATAGAGCAATCACGAATTACTATCAACAGTCAATTCAAATATTGCTTTTAATGAGAGATCTCCTCTCGCTAAATCACGCTGTCTACACTGCACAGCAATTCGCCAGTACTCTTGTTTAAAACCGCGACATTTTGGCCTCCAACGTCTTTAGAGCATAGAAAAAACGCCCACGATTCAGGACAAAGAAGGCAGTTTATGCTAGCATCAAAGGCGTTCAACACCCCTCTAACAATTTTTTTACGAGTGGCGTATTCATTATCAAAAAGACGAGAGGATACAGGTGTAGATAACAATTCAACACAAACATAACCAAAAGTATATACACTAAAGTTTAGAAGTTGACTTTAGCTCAATAAAATTTTAATAATGGAAAAGAAATTTTGATAAGTCATGAAATGGTATGGTAGGGTACGTTCTGTTGACTTCTTAGAGGCTACAAACTCTGTTGTGAGTTCCTTGATCGCTCCTTTCAAGCCAGTAATTTTGGGAAACGGGTGAGTCTCGACCTCGACAAACAATTAAAAAAAAGGAATTACAAGTGTATTAGTTAAAAAGTGTCTATCTCACTATAAGTACCTGTTATTTACAGCGGGGCCTCAAATAGAAATGAGCCAGTACAAAGACATTCTGGCTTCTTGAACTTCTCCCACGCACAAGGTCTTGATCGTTCAACAGGAACCACGCAAAGTTCGTGTAAAAAATTTATTACTTGTGGCGATACCCTAATGTGGAAAAAAGCCTTAAATAAAACTAAGTTTTGAGTTATCTAGTATGTTGATCCACCCAGACTTCTATGGCTCTGGTGAGTAACACAAACGAAGGTCAAGGAGCAATGGGGGTCCTCACGACATCGTGAAGGGTGAAGAACTCTGTCCTCATCTCCACGCAAGGATCGCCATGATAATGTTTGGGTTATTAGGTAATCCCTCACAAATAGTATTACCTAATTAACATTATCTAAGGGCTGAATAGCTTTGAATTCATTTCAATAATGATAACTTGCCAAGACCAGCGTCAGAAGCCCACAGAGGAAACTGGATGCAGAGACCACCACTCTGCAAGAGTCATGAAAACCAGCTTTGTCCAGCTATTCTTAATTTTTTGGTTAAACGTATTCGGTGTGAGATCTGAAGTCGATCAAGGTTTTAGCCACTGCCTGCAATACTTTTACAAAAGTGCCCCACCAAGACTTACTCGGAGCTTCGCTGATCCACCCAAGGGCATCTGCCAACGGTACGACAACGCATATCGCTATGCCACACTGTACAGTACCAGCCTAAGGATTCCCGTGTACTCAGCTTACACTCTGCCTGAACCTTGCACGGGCTCTCCCGGGGCAGAGAGAAGATCTAGATGGTTTGTCGAGCCTCAGGTATGTAATTTATTTGACCTCTTGAATTATGAAGTGAACAAGTTGCTAATCAATGAAGCCTTATTTTAAAATTAAGGCTTGAAAACAGTTTGAAACCAACAGAACTGCAATCAAGAAAAACAGTAAAAAAA